AAATATATGTATGTATGTGTGTATATATAAAGAACACGCCCGTCGGGCGAAAGGGAATTCGGTTCCTATTCCGAAACCCGGCAGCGGAACCGTACAATAGTCGGGCCCTCGCAAGAGAGTTCGTCGGGGTAACCCAAAAAGACCCGAAGACGCCGTCGGGAGACCAGGGAAGAGTTTTCTTTTCTGCATAAGCATTCGAGTTCCATGGAATCCTCTAGCAGGGAGATATGGTTTGGAATGCGAAGAGCACCGCAGTTGCAGCGGTGTCCTGGTCTTCCCCTCGGACCTTGAAAATTCGGGAGAGGGCCACGTGGAGGTGTCGCGCCGGTTCGTACCCATATCCGCAGCAGGTCTCCAAGGTGAAGAGCCTCTAGTCGATAGAATAATGTAGGTAAGGGAAGTCGGCAAATTGGATCCGTAACTTCGGGATAAGGATTGGCTCTGAGGATCGGGGCGTGTCGGGCTTGGCGAGGAAGCGGGTCGCGGCTGACGTGCCGGGCCTGGGCGAGGTGAAACGTTCTGTCGTATGCGTTCGCGCGTGTGCGGTAGGATTGCGGATCCGAACTCGGTACCGTGCCTTGGCCTCCCGCGGAACCGTCTTGCTGCGAGGCCCAGAGTGCGCTCGCAAGGGCGTTCTGGTGTCCTCTTCGGCCGCCATTCAACGGTCAGCTCAGAACTGGCACGGACCGGGGGAATCCGACTGTCTAATTAAAACAAAGCATTGAGATGGCCCCTGCGGGTGTTGACTCAATGTGATTTCTGCCCAGTGCTCTGAATGTCAACGTGAAGAAATTCAAGCAAGCGCGGGTAAACGGCGGGAGTAACTATGACTCTCTCTCTTTGGCGGTCAAAGGTTCCTGACCTCCACGCGGTGACTGCTGGGCAACGCTCATCCACCCGCCTTACCTTTGGTTAGGCATTTGAACGAGGATGACGGCTAACTAGGAACCAGCCCCCCGATTACCCGGTCGGGGCCTGTCTGCGGACAGTCATAAGGGGTCGGTATGGAAACCGAGGGCGAGATACAGACCACCTTGTATCTTACCCCTTAGGGGAAGACATGCACTTGGCCCAGCCAGCCAAGCTGCATATGATAAAAGGCTACGACACATAGAAACATAGCCTCGGAAGATCGGGGTGGTGATGGGCCCACACCATCCCAAAATCCTAGACCAGGGGCCCATGATGATGGAAATGGCGAGGACAAGGACATTGAGATTTTGCTCCCCTATATAGAAAGGTCATGCCCCCTATGCCTCAAAAGAAGCATTAACATCCTGCACATGACCTTAAATGATGAAATAAAACATGTAAAATCTGATCACAAGGATATACAAATCAGATTCAAATGCAGGATGTGCTCAAAAATGTATATAGCAAAACATGCGGCACTGTGTCACGTCCCCAAGTGCCCGGTGGGAGCTGCTGCGGCAGCCCCACCTCCAGAGTCAACAGACTCAGAGACTGACGGAGTACCAAGTAACAGGCCTATACCCGAATCGGTAGGCGTGGCCTGCCCCGATTGCGGCGAAAGGTACTCCGGCCGCGGTGCACTAACACAGCACCAGCGGCACCGGCATCCACTCACCCGAAACGAAGCTAGGGCAGCGGGTACACGGCGGTCTCCTCGACAAAGAAGATTGGTTATCTTTACTGAAGAGGAGGAACAAATAATGATGGAGTGCGAACTCCGGTACCGGGGTGAGTTGCGTATAGCAATGCGCATGCGGGAGTTGATACCAGAGAAAACTTTGAAACAACTCCGGGACAAAAGGGCCCAAAAATGCTACAAAGAACGGCGTGAAAGGTACCTCGCAGAAAGAGGGATCACAGCGTGCGCTAGTACTGATGATGACAGTACAGAACCAGTATCCACAGACACAGGGGATGGTAGAGCTACCGTCCCCCAAGAAGAAGCGCCCGAAACCAACAGCTGCGAGGAAGCGGGAGTAGGGGGTGGCTCCCCTATCCCAGTCCCGGAGCTACTCGACGTATCAGCAGTAGCTGCCATTGCAGGGGGTGAAAATAACGTTAATAATATCACCCCCACCGCCGAAAACATAAGTCCGACTCAGACGCCTGACATGTCAGAGAGGGTACTGAATGTCAGTGAAGATGAGTTGGTATCGCCAGCAGCTTCTCCAGAAGAGATACTTTGGAGACAGGATGTTGCTCAGACTGCCCGTAGCTGCAAGTTGACTCGAGCGGCACAGCAACATCTGGAGGTGAACACGGTCACCCAGCTGCTTAGAAATGCAATCTCCGAGGCTTGCGATTTGCCTATGGGGCAGCCCCAATCGCAAATAGATACTTTACATGATAGAGTCACCGCTCTCTTCGTCAGCGAGGAGCGGGGAGTTGCAGGGCGACGAAAGGGAAGGCGTAGAGGACAAAATAAGAGGGGTAACAGACGGTACCTCTACGCCCGTACCCAGGATATTTACAAAAAAGAGCCAGGCATTCTTGCCAAGCACGTCCGTAACAACGTGGACTGGCTGGA